ATATCTTTCTACAGTATTAAAAATTATTGAAGACCCCTAAGAGCTTTATTTAGGTTATGTCAGTGTTTACCATATTAGAAATTAAGAGAGAAACTTGAAAGAAAGTGGGTTGTAGTGGGAACAGTCGCCTTATATTATATTTTTGCAGATCTTTTTGAAGTTCCACTTTAATGTAGTGGGAAGAGTGGTATTGTTTTACTCTTTTATAAATTTATTCAATGTTTGGCTTTATAGGAAATGGCTGGATTCCCATATTTGCTTTTGCATTCCATCTGTTGCAAAATGCTCTTCTGGTTGAAGTGCATGAAGAAAATCTGGCTTCACTTAGATAAATTAGTAAATAGAGATGAGTATATTTTAACATTTACAGATACTTGTGGATATTTTTGTTTAATATTACAGTGAAACTTGACAGTTTTCATTGTATTATAATCCGTTGGGCTGCCTTAAACTTTGAATGGATCTTTTACCAATGCATGATTTTGTCATGTCATATACCAAACATTATAAAAATATTGACCTATTGAGTTATGCAAATCTTCCATATTTTAATGTATTTTATTATACAAAATAAAAAACAAGTCACATTTTTAACATATCAGCCACTGATCTTATCAGAAAATGTGTACCAAACACTGTCCAAAAGTATAGCATTCCTGTGATACCTTTTGTAAGCCAAAATGGCATAAAATGAAGAAGCAGTTACCATTAATATTTATATGAAAAATGTTTTGAGGGTTTCCAGGCCCAAAAAATAACCCCTTAGGCTTCTTCTGAAACCTTAGGGCACATCTTGGTAGCTGATGCACAGAATAAGTCAAGTTAGAGCACAGATGTTCACAGATACAGGCAGCTTGGTGTTGAGATGTTGAGTCTAGTTCCCAGGGAAAGAAAGAGCTTGGCTGTGCCAGTCTTGCTGCTCTAGGTTTGTGCTGTCTCTGAAATTGCTTGCTGCAAAACACACTGAACTTTATTTTTACTTTTTGCCTTTTTTCCATAAAAGTGAAAATCTTTGGGTGCTGTTTGGTTAGCAAAAACACTACAAATGTAGGTGTCTCATAAAAGCTAAGTGGTGTAATGCATGCACACTTTCAAAAAGCAAGGAATACCTGTACACAAGTCAGTAACCGTAGTTTGTCAGATGACATCTTGTTCAGTTTGCAACCCAGTCATAAGAATGGTTTTTCTTGAAGAACCACCCTATTTCAGAATGCAAGCAGAAATGCTTTATGTATGTATCTTGTTTTGTTGCATAGATTATTAAAAAGGCATGTGGTGGTTTAATACTCATTTTAACTGCTTCATCTAGGTACTCATAGTTGAAAATTTAAAACTGCAGTTTGTGTGTGAAGAATACAATGATAGTTACTAGTAAAAATTGAATGGAAGTGCCTTGATTTGTGCTAAAATCTCAACATTTTTGCCTGTCATTGCTTTTGCATCATCCACACAATAGTTGATAGACTGAAAAGCCCAACTAGATCATAGTCTTATATCCATGTTCTAGTGTTTATTTTTTTATTATTTTTTATTATATATTTTAATTTTTTAATTTATATTCAAGTTAGCATGTATGTTCTAGTGTTTAGTAAGACATGAAAAGTTTTGAATTTGTGTGCTTCCTGAAAAAGTCTTGCGGACTCAGTACTCACATCAACCACACTTTGAGAATCCACTGTTTTAATGGAATGCTGCTTTGATATGTGGTTCTGGAAATTAGTCATATTTTGCTTACTTTTTTGGTCACCTGTGAATATAAGCATAGTTCAGTGACAGGCTCAGGAATACATACGTACAATTTAAAAAAAATAATGTCTTTTTAAAATTTTAATGTTTATGTTTGAGAGAGAGAGAGAGAGAGAGAGAGACTGAGTATGAGTGGGGGAGGGGCAGAGAGAGAGGGTGACACAGAATCCAAAGCAGGCTCCAGGCTCTGAGCTGTCAGCACAGACCCGTATGTAGGGCTCGAACTCATGAACCACGAGATCATGACCTGAGCTAAACAGATGCTCAACCAGCTGAGCCACCCAGGTGCCCCAGAAAGGCACAACTTCTTATGAACATAGAATAAATTAAGAACCTTCCCTTTTTTAGTCTTTGTTGGAATCCTTGAAAAAAAAAATGAAGGTGCTTTGTGAAGGTGAAAACTTTATGAACTCTATTTTGGCAGAATTTCATAGGTCAGTTCAAACTTGAGTAAGTTATTTGACAGTGCTGTGCCTTAGTTTTATGATCTTTAAAATCAGATAACCGTAGACCTATCTTACAGGGTTGCTATGAAGAGTAATTGAATTAATTAAACCAAATTTTTATCATAGCTTTAGTATCTTGTTACAGTGCAGTCTTTCAAAATTTGGCTTATATTATGCGCCAGTTCTAACTTCAAATACTAGAATTCATGGAAGTGAAGGTCTTGTGTATTGCTTTTTGGATGGGTACATAGTTACAGTGAATTTCAAGTGTTTCTCACTGATATTTGATAAATCAAGTTATAATGAGAAGTATTGTCTTAATTTTCATTGTTTAACCTACCCTTAAATATAATGTGACTTGCATTTTACTAGAAATAAGTAGCAGTGAATTTTTAGAAAATAACAGTAACCTTAAGACATGACCTTATAGGAAGCTGAAAAGTTCTTTTGCTCTTTCTAAAATAGCTAAAAAATAATCTGTCATCTAATTATACCATCTCATTTTCTTAGTCTTACATGTGAAGCTGTATAAAATAGTACTTGGTACTTTTTCTTTAAGGAAATGTCAACAATACTAAGTATGGAATATATGTATGTTTAGTGGAAAATGCTATAATATATATATTGGTGTTTTAGCATAGTGATAGGCTACATTAGCATGGATTATCATAAGACATTCTGATTATCTCATTTAAAGAAAGATACTATAGAACTGGAATCAGTTTCTAATAGAGCATCAGAAAGGGAATGTTATGGCCACTGTTGAATAATTGACTTAAAATCATAAATCTAGGGGCACCTGGGTAACTCAGTCAGTAGAGCATGTGACTCTTGATCTTGAGGTAATGAGTTTGAGCCCCACACTGGGTGTGGAGAATACTTAATTAATAAAAGCTTTTTTGAAAACCTATAGTCTCTCCAGAATTCTGCTAATGAAGGAAATGGAATAGAATAATTTAAGAACAATTTTTTAAAAGTACTTTGTGAATAGTAAAGCTAAACGTTACTTTGGAAAGTGATAGGTAAAGCTGAAATTGTAAGGAAATAGTAAAAAAGTTGTCTCCCTCCTTGCCCCCACCAGTGAATCACAGGCACCAGTTAGCATGTCAGAATTTATAAGGGAGATTTGAAAATTGAAGTCTCAAACAGTAAGACTGTCATAATTACCATGTTAGTGGCTAGATGCTACATTTCTCATCTTTAATAGCTAAGGCAAATCCAAAAGTAAAAATACAAATTATTAATCCCTTATTCCCCAAAAATGTCATGATCAAAAAAAAAAAAAAAAATCCGTGTATTTTACTGTGGTGCTGAAATGGACCAGCTTTTCAGTAACAAGAATCTGCTATAACTAATACCTGGAATAGTTTGGATATGCTGAAGCAGTCCACATTTTATCAGGTTTTAGTGATGAGGAAATGACAACTTGGTTTGATTTATTGATGATAGTATTATATGTGATCATAAAATAGTATTTTCCATATGACTTTATCAGAAATCCATTCTATAAAATAGTCTAGCTCTTTTGCTAGTCAGTAGTGTCCATCACTAGCCAAAAGTTTTATAAGAAGAGACAAATTTGTTTTTTGTAAAGTTTAAAAAAAAACAGTCTAAAGAAAGATTTGGGATTTCCATTTTCTAAATAACTTGATAAAACATTTCTTTATGATGCTGTGTGATGTTTTCCTTGTAACAGTTTCATTCAAAGTTACGTCTTCAGACATATCAGGTTACATCTGGGCAGTTGATTTGCTGCTTAATGGCATTTGTCTACCATAAGCTTTTCTTTATTTCTAGCTTTTATAGGTGCTTTCACTGGTATTTTGTATTACTAAGTGGAATTTTAAGCACATTTTAATAAAATTGCTTTTAAAAGTAGAAAAAGGGTGCTTTTTAAAGATTTAGACATTGCTACAGTTGTCTCAGAATGTGTTTTATGATTGCTACATTTAACACTGATTTGATAATTGAAAAGATCATTAAATAATAGTGCAAATTTCCATCACAGTATGTGGAGTAATTTCACCTAGAGATTTCATTGAAGTTACCTCTATGTAACTACTGGTAGTAAATGAAGTTTTTTAGAAGCAGTTGAATTTTACTGAAATTTAAAACATTTTGTAATTTGCATGACCTTTGTATCACTATTAACCTTAGCATTTTGTTTCAGAATTTGGCAACTGTGTAATAACACTTTTATTTAGATTTCCAAATAAAGGAAGCAGTGCTATGTTGAATTTTTAATAATTGTGTGCTGGGAGACTTTCATGGCCTGTATAGGTCATATCTTGGGTAAAACGATGCTTGGATATTTGAATAAAAACTCAAGTGTGTATTGCAGTATTTCTAAAATGAAAATTGTCTATAACTTTATTTTAATCTTAGTGCCCACAGCTGTTTGTGTTGGATGTTTGAAAACATTTGCATATAAAAGGATTAACGGTCATTTCTGTTTTAAGACTTCAGTGAAATAGTGGGTCCTGGTGGTTATTAATGCTAGATTTTTCTTTTTTGGAATCTAGCCATTGATCTATTGAACTAAGAACATTAAAAACATCTGTGGTAGATTTTATGTAATCTGACAGTATAATCTAGCAGTATAAACTGAATGCTCTAAGCACTGTGGCATATCGAACCTGGGAGACCGAAGTTCTTTTCAGGTTTATTAAGTAAGTGATGTTGGAAAATTTTAATTTTTTTTTTAATGGAAAGTGATGTCCCAATTTATTCTTTTCTTTCTGATTTTAGATGGGAAATGTAAAGTCATAAGATCGATAGGTTGACTGTGACAACTATGCTTACTTACAGAGAGAACAGGAAATGAGAATGGGTGATATGGGTCCCCGTGGAGCAATAAACATGGGAGGTAGGGATCTGAAGCAAAAGTCTTCTGTAACTTGTAATTCTTTGGGGAACTGTACATGCTGTTTGTGGTATCTACATATCAGTAACAGTCTAAAATTTGGAACCAACATTTGTAACAATGAAATCTCATATATTTAGTAAGTTGAAAAAAATAGAAGTACATTAAAAACAGTGTGCCTAAAAACACCATTATCATTTTGTTTACTTGACGGCTAAGGGTATATTATATGTTAATAGATTTAATGAAAGAAACCTGTAACCAGGTTTTGATACAACCTGAAACTTGTTCAGTCATTGCATGGTGTAATGCAGCTATGTTGCATTTTTAAAAAATCAAACTTCATGCTTTCAAATTGGCTTTTTTACCTTAGAAATTGATAGTTCCTGACTTTGTAGTGTCTTTAAACTTTTTGAGAGTATTTTATAAATTTCTATTGGTAAGGTAACCTTTTGTGTAACTTTGGAGTTATTTTTTATTCATTTTACTGAATGTTTAACTTATTTTGCCATAACCTAACGTATTGTGCACAGAAGTACATTGTTTGGAGGCGTCTGTGACATGTCAAGGAAATGAGATGTGTCTTACACATCTAGGCTAATGCATAACTTTAGAGTTGATGTAAAGGTTTTATGAAAGTGCCTACATTAACATCTCTACTAGTGAGGGATACTGTATCAAGTGAACAAGGTGAAGGGAAAATAAGTGTGGGATGTTCTTGTAGGTCTTTTTAAGTTTGAAATGTTATACACTTAAAAGTTAGATAAACTTTTTATATATTCATTTCATATTGTCCCATAGAAGCTGTCATGAAATTAAAGTCTTTACATAACATAATGTGAAGGTTAATTACTGTAGCATTCTAATATGCATAATATATACACCCACTGAGAAAATCCTGATTGTACTTAGAATATGTGGTGTAGAGAGTAAAAAAACCTTAAAGCATCTAATATCTGGAATTAGTTTTTTCTGTGATCAACCTTTTCCCCCTACTTCTCATGCCTGTTTCTTTGCTGCTTGTAGTCAGATCATCTAAAATTGTTTATTGCTGTTTACTTGGTCACTTTTCTTACCTGCCAGTAAAAAGTTACTTAGCATTTCTGGTATACAAAGGAAGCATGAAACATGGCCCTTACTCATAAAGATCTTAATTGTGATGTTAGTTGCGATGGAAACATGAAATAATTAGTGAACAAAGAATACAGAAGTTCTTCAGGCTTCGTTCTAGTGCATAAATTCTAGAGGCACAGTTGAATATATAGTAATGTACAAGAAGTTCAATTTTAAGTGTTTTTCCAAAGTAAACCATAGAAGGTGTGTAATACAATCCAGGTGCTTTTAAGAGTTGTAAGTGTGAGGTTATGGATTGTAGGTACCTTGAAATACCATTATAATTATTAGATTGCTGTGAACATCAGAAACAAATGAATTATTTCTGATGTGCAGAGGCCTTGAAAACATTCTGACTGCTTGATTAGCAACTTTATCAGAAGAATAATGAGAATATACTTTTAGATTCCTTATTAAGAATTTAAGAGAATTAAAAATTTTTAGGGCATTTTATTTTACCAGAGAACCATATTACAATTGATCACTTTCTCAACTCTCCTAAAATCTAGTCCATTTAATTTCTTCCTTTTTACATTTTATCCAATCTGAGACTTTATCCTAATGGTTTACTTATGAGTCATTATCATTCAGTTGAATGTCACTGTCAAATCAGTAAATTGTCATGTCCTATCAAGTTACGTTGATGGAATGTGGAAATAGACTTTCTGGTGTATCACCAGTTTATCTACCAAGGAAATCACAGATTATAAAACTGCTTTTCAGGGGACCAGATAATTCTAACATTTCTTAGATCTTTAAATTTAGTTTAATATAGCTGTGTGATAGAAAGCTTAATTACTAGAAATAATACTCTAATTATTGATAGTTGAAAATGTTATTTTTGTTTTTTTTATTGTACCCATAGTTGTATAGCTATATTTGAATCTTATAACAGTTAACATTTTATTAAAAAGAGAAGTAAACCTAACCCTTGATGTGTTCTTTTAGGGAAAGTTAAGATTCTTTACAGATAATGTCTCCATTCTTCCTCATTTCCATGTGAGAGATGTTGTGGAAATATTTTTTTAAATTAAATTTTATTTTATTAAAAATTTTTTTAAGGTTTATTCATTTTTCAGAGACAGAGAGTGGGGGAGGGGGGAGAGGGGCAGAGAGAGAGGGGGGAACACAATCCGAAGCAGGCTCCAGGCTCTGAGCTGTCAGCACAGAGCCCGACGCGGGTCTCAAACTCAGACTGTGAGATCATGACCTGAGCTGAAGTGGATGCTTAACTGGCTGAGCCACCCAGGTGGCCCAAGATGTGGGATTCTCGTAAAAATTTTTATTTATTGCTCTGCTGAGGGAATAGAAATATTCTTGGATAGGTAGTGTAGATTTATCATCAGGAACATTTTGGGATTAAGGAAATAATCTTCCCTATGCAGTGGCTGGGTTCCTGGGGATTGAGTTGAGAAAGAGTCAGTAGCATATATTGCCAGGGACTGGTAGGGAGTAAGAATTTTTTCTCACAGCTGCTCCCTAGGCTCAGTCATCTGTAGAATTCAGCTGCATTAAGATACTGTGTAGAGTTGTGGGTTTGAATGAAAATGTCAACTCTGCTTACATTGTGTTTTTGAGAAATTGAATTCTGAGTGTCGTAAAATTGACCTATCAAACGAAATACTAGAAGAAAACTCTTAAGTTAGAGTCAGTCTTTGTTACGAGTTTTTGATGAAAAAACGTATGAGTACTTTAAAAATAACAAAATTCAAAGTAGATACCTAAAAATGTTGTATTTGAAGCCATTATAAATATAGTGTTACAGCTCAGCCAGTATTGCAATTAACATGAGGCCAGGTGGATATCTTTTTTGATGAAAAAATTTGAAGTATATCTAGTTGTCCCCATTTCCAGAATTTTAGCATGTCAAAAAAATTCAAATAGCTGTTAATATTTATATTTGGTTACAGTTGCTTTTTAAAAATAAGCTTTGTCATGATGAGCCTTTTTTTTTGGTTTTTGTTTGTTTGTTTGTTTGTTTGTTTTTTTGTTTAGATTGCCTATTTCTACATAAAGTTAAAAAAACAGTACCTCCTGTAGTTTTGGGATATATTCAGTAACTTACATAAAAGTCAAGAGGTTAGTTTTAGTGAACTTTATATATTTATTCGTAGTTTCCAAAGTGCTAATCCTATGCTGTTAATTTAAACTGGTAGAGTATAGTCACCATTGTAAGGGAGTAGTTGGTTAAAAAGCAGACTATAGCAAGTACACTCATTTTTAAAAAAAATCTTTCAAGCTTTGACAGTCGCAGATATCCTGAAATAATTAATAGTTGTTTCACTTGTTTTGTGTACATTTGATTTGGGGATGAAAATTCTATAGTGTAGGTAATGCACTGTTACAGAGTAGATAATTGAGCATCCATTCTCGAAGAAGGAAAATGATTTTGGTAATAGTCTTGCTGTATATATAGTTTGCATAAGTATTGTTAAATTTTTAATGTTTACTAAACTAAGATAGGACAGCTCTAAGTATAGATTGTTTTGCGTAGATGCATTTAGCCCAGCACCTGCTGGTAACCAAGGTCCTCCTCCAATGATGGGTATGAATATGAACAACAGAGGAACTATACCTGGCCCACCAATGGGTCCTGGTCCTGCCATGGGACCAGAAGGAGCTGCAAATATGGGAACGCCAATGATGCCAGATAATGGAGCAGTGGTAATGTATCATAAACATTATTTTGATTATATTCAGTAATATATACTTTTCTGCCCCAAAGGTAACTTCACACTTAACATAATTTGGCATCATTTATTTTGGCGGTAAAGATCAATATCCACTGAAGAAAAAGTAATTTTGTGCAGTTATATGTTGACTTATGTGAAAGGCAATTTTTAAGTATCACAAGAATTAGGATTACCAATCATGGTATGCTTTTGTACTTAAGTATATGGCCAATATACATTTTAATTATAGTTATTTTTATATTGCTTTTAGTTTGTATCCACCTCTTACCAGTATTCAATGTAAAGGTCAAGATTTTAAGATTGTGTTCTTTTTCCTGTGTGTAGACTCCTTACCTTTGGTGGGGAATAAAACTCCAGTATGTGTGAAAACACAGTTTTCTGTAAATATTTTTTAATAACAAGATTGCTTATGATTAATTTCAGAGAATTTAACTGTAAAATAAGGTACTTTAAGGTTGTAAAATATATTTTAAATTACATTTTGCAATCTTACAGGATTACTAATCATATTTGTTATAAAATTTAAAGTATACAGTTTTATGTGTTGGTTTGAGAGTGTGAAGATATCTTTGTGTGGGTTAAGTAATTATAAAAGCAAAATTTTTCAATAATAGTTCTTATTTTGAGTGTTAGTAGCAAGACTAATAACTTCTCATTTCCTTTAAAGTCTGTCACTATTTAAATGAGGTTTTCTATTGGCAAAACATTGTTTCATTTGGTTTTTGTTAATGGTTGTTCTAAATAGCATTTAAAGGAAAATTGGTAATGATTGTATACTTTGAAAGGCAGTTTTGGAACTACCACAACATGTGTTAAGGCGCCATTGCTGCTAAGAAAGAAAAAGCACTGCCAGTTAAATTCAGAAATGCCATTGACTGTAAATCCATACTGATTTCAGAGATATTAAAAGTGAATGTGTGTCTTAGGATTGATGGATACAGTGTTTCATCATTTTAAAATTTATTTACTTTAAATGCAGATCTTTAAACATTTTGGAAAAATTGGACATGGTAACAGTTTTTTATTTTAATGAGTGTATAGAGAGATAGAAAAGCAGTGCCATAATATCTATGATCAGATGGCGCATAATTAGTATATTTGTTTCCTTCTCTGGAGGCTTTATTTTACAGTAAAATGTCTGAAAGCTAGTAAAAACTTTGCTTCGGTTAAGTTTTTGTGTGGCTTATAATCATCAGTAGTAACTTAAAGTAGTATTAACTGGCCTGTTTTTCCACCCTTCCCTCTGAAATTGTAACTGTTATTTAAATATCACCCTTGATTTTTTTCACAGTGACATTTTACTACTGCATGTAGGGAGTTCTGTTCAATCTTTGAGATTAACATATGTGGTTATTCTTGTAAAGTTTTCCAAAGCAAAGAATTCAGATATTTAATTGTGCTATTAGTAGTACATGTTAATAAATTGTCAGTTTTTAAGAAAACCATATTTTCCCATTGATAGTCTTTCCAGAAAAACACATCAAAAGTTTTAATATTGAAATAATAATTCTGTGTGTGATTGTACTAGTACTTTCTGTGTTCAAAGCACTGCTGTTGAAATTTTTAGGATGTTTATACCTTTTCAGTGTGATGCTGCTCCCCAGTTTTATTTCTTTGATTTTCAAAAAAAGTATTTTTTGCACAGCACAGTTGTATGCAGTATAAACTTATTTTTTTATTAAAAAGATCAGAACAATATTGTAATACTGATTAGGTTTAAAATGGCATTCCCTTCTTAAAATCAATTCTTTTTTCATGAAATTGGGGCATAGCATTAGCAATATGTAACTCTTCAGATGCTTTATTTAATTTTTTTTTTTTTTTGATGTAGTAACTAATTAAATTGCTCCTTTCTTCCTTCTATGTGTGATCCTGATTCTGCTGGACTTTCTGCTGAACTTCATGACACCACCACTTGGGATTTTGCCAATTTTTCTTGTCACTTAATATTTGGCGTGTTCCAAATGGACTTCATGTTTATTATGTGGTATTATAGCATAATGATAGATTTCCGCAAGGACCGCCATCTCAGATGGGATCACCTATGGGGAGTAGAACAGGTTCTGAAACCCCTCAAGCACCAATGAGTGGTGTAGGTCCTGTTAGTGGTGGTCCTGGTGGTTTTGGTAGAGGAAGCCAAGGGGGCAACTTTGAAGGCCCTAATAAGCGTCGTAGATATTAAACGTTCTTTCATTCCTGGCTACTTAGAGGAAAAAAAAACCTCCGTGGTATGCCTTTATACTTTTACCTGTTACCTGGAAGAAATGGTTTTATTGTTAATGTATGTAGACTTTAAAGTTTTTCTTTTGTAAAACTTGAGGTTTTTGTATTTTTCTTTATTCATACATAAGCCTTGTAGATTAGAATGGTGATGATGATGCTCATCATTGTGAATGTTAAAATGTGTTTGTGACTTTAGCTAAATATAAATATGCCATAGAACTGTGAAGTCTATGTAGTTACTTAATCTCAATAAAGAAATCATTTTGGATAATTTACAAATGTTATTAGTATTCTCTCATAGTTTTACTAAACTTTGCTGTAACAGTAGTACTTTGGTTGCTTTAATTAATTCCAGCCATTTAAAAATGAAAATGATTTTCTGCTTTTTAGGTTGTGCAAGTAGCACTGAAGATAGAAGCTTAGTGAAAGCTAATGTCAATAAGGGGTAGATAGAATAGTATATTGGGGAGGGGTGGGGATGGGAGTTTACATTTGTATAAACCATTGATGTTCTTTCTGTGAAATCAGAGTTGCTGTCTACATTTCATATAGATTCTAAATATTCAAATATTCTGAGAAGGAATATTAAGGGTATCTTTGTCCTGTGCTGATTTTTTCAAATAAATCTTTTGAATCTTGGAAAAAAAAACACTGTTTGGAGGCAAATCTCTTTTGCTTATAAAATAATGTCTATTTTTAATCTAACCTGCTATTATTTGGTGTCAGTATCTAGATCTTACCCTTTAAATTTCCTTACAATCATGTTAGGTTGGATGTTCCATGAAGATTTGGTGTGATTTAGAAGAAATTAGGCATTTCTTGAGAATGTTGTTTCATGGAAGTACTAAAGGTGGATTAACTCTGCTGTGTTGTAAATATCTTCCCGTAGTTGGGTAAGTCTCTCCAGTGAAACGTGTCTGACAGGCTAGTTGTGTTTGTTTCCAAGGGAAACAGTTCAAGTGGTGATTGGGGGAAAAAAAAAAACAACAACGAAAAGGAAAACAGGAAATTGAGAATGTGGCTAACTAAGGGCATTGGAATCGGATTAGACCCCTGAAGTTTGATTTTCAGTACTAGGGAAAAACTGATTTAATCACATTATAATTGTTATTCTAAAACAAAGTCCTCGCTATATTTAAAATTTTGTATGTTAGCCACGTCTAATTTAAAATTACATTTACGGAATTTTATATTCACCTTAAACCACAAATCGAATGCATCAGCCATTGATCATAACGTAGTTATTTCTCATATAACGTTGCAGTGTGTTACTGTATCATACTTTTAGCATTTTCATGAAGAATAATGTGCTATTTTGAAATGAATAGTATGTAAATATTAATTCATTTTTGCATGGTATATGTTTATGCTGGAAGGCATACTTTGGAAAGAAATAAATTTGGTTAATTTAAAATCTTGCACAGAAGCAGTTAGGTATAAAGCAAAACTGAGATGCATTCCTTTGTAACGGTGAAAATTTTCTTGTGTACTATTTCACGTTCTATTTTTCAGACACAGCAGTATGGATGGAATTTTGTAAAATTGTGGTATTCATAGGCTTTTGTTTTTGGCAAATCTTTAAAAACATGATTTGGAGATTATAAAATAATAGTCAAAGACTGTTCTCATCACATTTTCCATGTACATGAGTTGGCAGGGAGTGGGATTATTTTATTAATTAAGTACAGTGTAGGGAGTTTTAACATTAACTATAATTTTTAAATGATATCTATAGCACCTAAATACACTTTTCCGGTCACCTGTATTTTTATTCATACAATTCTTAGGTAATTTCTAGCACTGTATTTTGCTTCAAAGCTTAATTAAGAGTAGAAAAAGCTTGATCCTTTGATGTTAATACCAAGCTGTTTTTGGCCAAGGTTGTGAAATTCTGTAACATTGGTTCAAGAGCATTTGAAAGCCAGTGCACAAGGAGATGTCCTAATCTTCTGAACATTCTAGTGTCCGGCTCAACTCTGGCTCCAAGAATTGAGTTCTACACAGCTTTTTCCTTGCATCAAGAGAATCTTTGTTCCAGTGCTTACCAAGTTTACCCTGGGAACAGTCAGCTTCTGAGTGACAGTCAAGTGGAGCATCTGGGAACTTCTAGTTATTCAGTTTTTAGTGTTTTTGTATAAACAACTTTGTGGCTGGTTCAGTCAATATTTTTTTCTGGTCAATTAGCATACATACCAGGAAAGATATTTAAATGTCATTTTCTTAAAAGCAGTAGATATAAAAATAAATAATAGTATTAGCTTTTTAAAATAAGTGTGAATTTGTCATATGTTACCATAATTCTGTCCATAAAAAGGTAATTTGAAACATCTTAGAATTATAATATCACAATATTGTGTTTCTTTTTGTGTCATGATTTGAAACACTCAGTTTGAAGTCTGTAGGATTTAGATCTCATGGCAATTAATATGTAATTTGCACAAAATAAAGGAATACCCATTTTCCTAATTATTTTGTCAGAATTTCCCCATTTTTGTTTTGAAAATAAACAAACTTGGACAGATCTAGTTTTTACAGAACTTACGGTTCACCCATATTTCATAAAGCTCAATTTGTTATTCCTTGAATTTTTGAGTTTTTCTATTTAAAATGAGTACCGATCATTCAACGAAAGAGATTAAATATTTCTTTTTAACCCTATCAGTAATATTGGGGAAAAAGTAACCTGGTTTCACCAGAATTGCCATTTAATAGAACTAGAAATATCAATAAGGACAGTAATGAAATGTTGGATCTTGTTTCTCAAATACTAATTGAAATTACACCTTTACATTTTATGCAAAAACATACTTTGAACATTTCAGTAACTTGGTGTTTATATTTGAAGTCTGTAGTAATTTGCTGAATATCAGCGTGAATGATTAATAGTCACTAAGTAATATTCGGGGATTTGGTTGATAATTACAACCTAGATTCTGAATGAGAAAAAGATACATGGTGTGATTGAAAGAAAATGCCTTGTGAGAGAATGTGATCAAATTTATGTTTAAGCTTTTCTAAAAAGGTTTGAAATTTATTGTCTAATGGAACTAGTCAGAAATCAAAGGAATACATTATTTTGCATAAGTAGAGGAAAATTTCTGGGGAATGTTGTGGTATTTAAATGTTCTGTGTGTGCTGTTGTGTTATAATGTCTAATAATATGTTAAAATAAATTCCTGAAATATGAAAGGGTAGTAATGATGTAAAAACTCAGACTTAATACTTTCAAGAATAAGATGGTGAACACCCACATATCTAACTCCTAGATTAGACAGTTGTATTTTTCTGTGCTTGCTTCATAGATAGTTGTAGACATGAACTTATTTAGTGGGGAGAGGTGGGAACTACTTCAAAGTAAGTAACAAGTCCATCAAAGTTGTATAGACCCATGTGGGTTTATTTCATCCTAAAGAAAGCAGGATTAAATAAATTGAGAGTAGTTTTATTTTGTTTATTTTAAAGTTTATTAATTTGAGAGAGACGCAGCAGGGGCAGAGAGAGAGGGAGAGAAAGAATCCCAAGTAGGCTTCGCGCCGTCAGTGCAGAGCCCAGCACAGGGCTCGAACTCAAGAACCTTGAGATCATGACTTGAGCCAAAACCAAGAGCCGGTCGCTTAACTGATGGAGCCACCCAGGCACCCTGAGAGTAGTTTTATATTTCACAAGGGCATTATATCCTTTCCTGCATCCTTCAGAACTAAGTTTCTAAAAATAGGAAACAATTTTAGTATGCTTACTTTACATAATTGTTTTTCACAGTTGTGTAAAATAAAGCATGCATAGCTTCCTGAGTGAATGTGGACAGGTAATTCATAGAATGTCGCTCTGGGGAAATGTGAAGAATTTCATTATTTTTATAGTATCTAATCTTAAGTTTTTAAAAAAACAGTATCTGATTAAGATCTGTATTTTGCATTGTATGTTGTATTAGGTTTTTTTTTGTTGTTAAAAGCACTTGTCTTCTAAGTGTAGAAAAAACAGTTTGGAAGTTTCTTTTGTTTACTGGATTACTGAATAGCAGTATTGGTGATTGAAGTTTGAATCTTACATGACTGAATATTTAAAGGCCCAACCAGAACACTGTTATCTTGGGAATATTACTTGACTTCTTGCCTTTTTCTATAAAATCACGTTTAGGTTATAAATACCTCCAAGGTTTCCTTTTGGTTGAAACTTACTCTTTGATTATTTTTTATTTACTTGGTGGAATCAGTGGTATGTACTTTGTTTTATGATGTATAGTTTTCCTTTTCAGTAAGAGAGGATTTTATTTTCTAGATGGAGAATTTTCTAGATTTTCTAGATGGAGAATACTGCATTTCTTAAAGTGAGCTAGCCAGAATTCATAGCGCACATTAAAAAAAGTTATCTTTCAAGGATACTGTTTTATGGCTTGAATGACTGTTACCAGGACCAACTCTTCCTTCCTTTGCAACAGATACTAGGTTTTGTTGACTATGTTTATATAAAAACCCTAAGGTAGAATTACTGTTTGCTCTCTGAATTAAAGAAGTTGATTTTAAAAGATGGTATTGTGCTTGTACATGTACATAAAATTTCACTTCTTATACAGTATAATTCAAATTTCATGTAAGGTACGTCCGTCTTAAAGTTAAGACTAGTTAGTAGGATTAGATACAATTAAGAAGTGTATTTAGTTTGAATACATGATTTTTGAATTTTCAACTTTTTTTTTTAAGTATAGTTAATAAGAAATGGTTTTTATTCATTAAAAATGAGGGCCCTGCATTGCATGAACAGTAACGTATAGACGTTAATTGAATAGTAATGTAATGGACCTTGTGTTTCTTAAATGCTCTGTGTAAGTGTGCTTTTGGTAATGTTCAAGACTTTGGAACTGATAGTGATATCTATAATTTGTTTCTAGTTCTGAAATCATCATTTCAGATATTTAACGTAGGATATGTATGTATGTGAGGTACTGTCAAAGCTTAAAGG